TTATTATCAATGGAGGATTACATTACAGTTATAATAATAATAATAATAATAATAATAAACAACCATCTTCATCTTCCCTCATTTTTACTCTTAAGTAAAAAAAAAAAAAAAGATAAAAAAACCATAGCTAGTGGTAATGGAAGTACAAGCGAGTTTGAGCTTGAGGTGCGGGGCCAAGTTATCTTAGCCATGAATTCCAACCCAGATGCCTCAACCTCACTTTTAGTCTAATCAGCAACCGTCCAGGTTAAATCATTTTCGAAAATCCAGTGACATACCTCGATCCGACCCGGACCCGACCCCAATGCCAGGAAAGCTCCGTGTCCGGGGCTCCACTGGGAAGTATCCAAGTGACAGATGGCTACGCCGTGGTTGATCTTCTCCTTGCTAGTCGGGTCTAAAATATCTGCTTCATAGACCCGAACTTTGGGAACAGAGTGGCAGTAATAGAGTAGGTAAGGGTACAGACTCTGGTGGCAGGAAACCGACTTGGTGATCTTTCCACCGTTGATTCCTTTTATCGATCCAATCATGATCTGCTGCTTTGACCCTCTGACGTTGTCGCTGGTCCGAACTAAGATGTTCCGACCCAGCACCGATGTGGCGAAATCAATGAGATCCTCGGCAGAGCCAACGCAGCGCTTGGTCTCGCCAGGGCTGGGTGCCCTTTCGCACTCCTTCAAGGCGTCGCTGATGATAGTATCCATGGATGAGTTGTCTTCCGCGTGGAAAATTTGCTTTAAGACATTGATTTTGGAGGTGGAGAATGGTAATTTTGAGACGATGGTTCGGGGCAAAAAAGACCTTTCCGGCATTTTATCTTTAATGTCCGGCATTGGCATGATTGTTCCTTGTTTCAGCATCTTCTCCCGGAAGAATTTCCCCGGTTCCACCCACCTTTTTACCAAACTGCTATTACCCATCATCATTTTTGTGGATGCTGATTCACTAGCAGAGGTTATATTGTACCTTTCAAAAGATACCGAAATGGCGTTTTTGCTGTACTCTTTGAAAGTGGTGTTAAGTCCATAAGTCTTGAATTCTATTTCGCCTCCTGGACCATACCCAGTGAAGGTGTCTGTACCAATGTTTGCAGATTGCCCATAAGTGGAAAAACCGGCCTTTCCACCGTTTGAATTCTTCTCATAAGAAGAGAATGAATCGTCGCCTACATTCGCATCATCTCTGTAGCGTGAGAAGGAATCTTCCCCCCCATTGCCGCCGGCGCCGTAGTTATTGAAATTGTTCTGAGGTACATTCCCGTTGACGCCATAACTGGTAAAGTTGTCGGATATGCCATTCCCACTTTGTCCGTAACCCGAGAAAGTTGAGCCCACCACATTGGAGTCTGTCGAGTAGCTGCTGAACTTGTTGGGTACTCCATTTCCATTCTTCGCATAGTTCGAGAACGACTGACCATTTCCTGCGTTTGCATCCTGGGAATAACCCTTGAAGGTCTGAGCCCGTCCATTCGAAGAATCTGAGTAGCTAGTGAACCGGCTGTTCGGATTGTTCACCTCTTTATGATAGTTCTTGAACTCGCTCTCGCCGCCTCCGGCCTTGGTGCCATAGGTGTTGAAACCCTGGTCAACCACGTTGCCCTGAGTGGCGTACTCGGAAAATCGGTCGTCGTGACCAAATGAGTTGCGGCTGTATCTACGGAACGAGTCGACAATGACGTTTTCATCAACAGAATATTTCTGGAATGAATTGACGCCGCCGATCCGGTGACCGTCGTAGTTGGTGAAGTTCTTCTGACTGTAAGTAGCAAAGTTGACGTCGGCGTCGTGTTTCTCGAGACTCTGCGATAAATCGGGGAAGCAGAAGAGTTTAGCCGATGAGCAAAATGCCGGAAGCCTGGTGGAAAGCTCGTTTTGGGAAGCGAGCTTGGCAAAAGCGGCGGAGTCCACGGCGGTCAATGGCGATGCCTTTGAGATTAGGAAAGAGGATTTTGTCAAATCGACGCGGATCTCCTTGTTCAAGTATCGAATCAAGGAAGCTTTTGGGGTAAATGGGTTTTTCTCAGCCGAGAATCCCCCGGGAATATCCCCGGCTCCGGCAAGATTCACCTGCATTGCCGCATAACCCATTACGGAAATGATCAAGAAATTAAACATAAAGCAGATCATGGAAAGGAAAATCAAATTAAGAAGAAAGCATTGGTTACTTACATTGAGAGGTGATAGGAAGTAGAGAGAAAAGAGAAAGAGAAGAGTCATGGGATTGAACTGTTTGCACATTTCTTTTTCCCCTTCTTTTCTTCTCAGTGGATGCGTGAGTGAGAGAGAGAGAGAGAGAGAATGTTGGTGGTTTTGTTGGGTTGTGGAGAGAAGTAAATGGAGGGGTAATGGCAGTTTTTGCAGAGAGAGAGGTTTAATTTAATTTAAAATTTCAATTTTGAAGACAAAGCTCAGAGTTGTCAAAAAGCTTTGACATTTGAGACTGGTTGGTTGAATAATTACTCTCACTCACTACTGCAAAAAGTGCATTATTAGTATACTAATTAATAAAGATTTAACTCAAATTAATCCCTCATCACTCCACAATAATACATAAATAATCACGCAAAGCAATAACAAATATAAAAAGAGATAATAAATGGGATTAGATTTAGTATCAGCAGAGAAATTACGTAAACCCTATAAACTTGAATAGAAAATTTATATGAATTGAGGAAGAAAACTCTGAAACAAATAGGAGTTTAAAAGAAGCTTTTGGTGGAGATGAGGCTGGGTGAGGAAGCCTCCTTATTTATAGCCTTACAAAAGGCCTTTTTCTTTTTGTTATGACCTAAAATGGTTTACGGATTTTTCTTCTTTTTTTTTTTTTTTTAAATGGGTAACTTTTAAATTTATATTTTAAAGAAAATTCCACTGATTTAGTCCAAAACAACTCTCGGATTTTATTCTTAATTATAAAAAAAAAAAAAAAAACACTCTTATACAGAGTAGAGCTGTTAATTTCTTTATTTTTCCACCAATTTTTTTTTTAATTATAAGGAGAAATAAATATTTTTTTTTATTAATATTCAAATTTGGTTGACCATTATAAAAAATGTGCGCTTGTACAGTTCAAACAAGAGAAAAAAAATTAATATTATAAAACCAACATTTAAAATATTATATACATAAACTTACGGAGTTGGTTAATCCCAAAAATCGGACAGTAAAAATTAAATGAAGAGGTTCCACGGCCGTAAAAATATATATTAAAATGCCCTTTAGTTTAAAAAGCTGAAGTTTCTACTTCGCCATTAATTTAAGAAAAATTACAAAATTTTATTCATAACATTGGCTAGAGAATGCCTAAAAAGTCCTTTCTGCGACTTTATTTATTATTATTATTTTTTTAATAGAAAATTCCTCACACGGTTTTGGTCCAGAAAAAGGTGCAGGAACATTTTATAATTACAATTTATTTCATGAAAAAGAAAAGGACGTAAAAACATAATTAATATTAATTTAATCTGAATACCCAAAAATTAAAAATGGTAAAAAAAATTGTACACGGTCAATTGCGTCCAAATTAGTAGCCACTGACT